CACATGGATCCAGGTCCCCAACACGGATCTTGGATCCCAATATGGATCCAGGTTCCCAATATGGAACCAGGCTCCCCACACGGATCCAGGTTCCCCACACGGATCCAAATTCCCAACACAGATCCAGGTTCCCAACACGGATCCAGGTTCCCCACACAGATCCAGGCTCCCAACACGGATCCAGGCTCCCAACATGGATCCAGGCTCCCAACACGGATCCAGGTTCCCAACACAGATCCAGGTTCCCCACACGGATCCAAATTCCCACTGCAGATCCAGGTTCCCAACACGGATCCAGGTTCCCAACACAGATCCAGGCTCCCAACACGGATCCAGGTTCCCCACACGGATCCAGGTTCCCCACACAGATCCAGGTTCCCAGTATGGATCCAGGATCCCAACACAGATCCAGGCTCCCCACACGGATCCAGGCTCCCCACACGGATCCAGGTTCCCAGTGGCTCAGAAAAGCCGGGATACAGCTCCAAGAGCTGCCCGGGGGGGGCAGACGAGCCAATCCAGGCCCCCCCCCCTCGATCCCGGCTCGATGAATCCGCGTGGCTGGAACAGCCCCGAGGCCTCGGCTCATCCCGGCCGTCGGAATCCGCGACCCATCCCGGAGAAACGCTCCATGCTGCCGGCCTGGGACACACTCCAGGGCCCTGCCCCCTCCACGGGGCACAAATCCCGGAATTCCCCCCTCCCGGGTGGGATAACGACGACCCCCGGCCCTCGCCGCGGGATTCCCAAGGATCCCAAGGGATTGAGGAGCCGGGGTGCCGGACATCCCGAGGGGTAATTAGCTGTAATTAGCACAACCTGCACAACGAGGTGGGTGAGGATTCCCGGATGGAGCCGACCGGGCAGATCCAGCCTCCGACTCCGACCCCTCACCGCTCCGGCACAAAGGGCTTTAATTACCAGGGACGGTTTTTCCGGCAGCGCCGTAATTAGAGGCTGCCAAAATTCCCACCGGCTGGAATTCAGCGGGGGGAATAACTCCACTGTTCCCACCTTGACTGCTCCTCTCCCTCCCACCGCGCTGGAAAAGCTGGAAAAGCCCAAATCCAGGCTGCGAGTCCGACCTGTGCCGGGATAGGAGGGCGGGAAAGCCGCGGGAAAGCTCCGGCGGAGCTTCCAGGGGGGGCTTTTCCACGGGAAAAGGGACACAGAGACCAGCCCAGGACACCGGGAAAACCCCGTGGGGGGGTTTTCTGGGAATGTTAAGGTTCAGGGGAGGACACATCCCGGTTGTTGGTGTTCCGGGATCCCGGATGCGGAGGGAGGAAGCGGCAGCCCCGGATCGAGGGGCGGGAGAGGACGGGAGGGAAGAGCGGGAATTGGGAACGGGGAGCAAAGAGCAGGAATTGGGAACGGGGAGAAAAGAGTGGGAATTGGGAATGGGGAGAAAAGAGCAGGAATTGGGAACGGGGAGCAAAGAGCAGGAATTGGGAATGGGGAGCAAAGAGCAGGAATTGGGAATGGGGAGAAAAGAGCAGGAATTGGGAATGGGGAGCAAAGAGCAGGAATTGGGAACGGGGAGCAAAGAGTGGGAATTGGGAATGGGGAGCAAAGAGCAGGACTCGGATCCGCTGGGATGGATGGAGAGAGAGCCCGAGGGCAGGAGGAGCTGATCCATGAAGGAGCTGATCCATGAAGGAGCTGATCCATGAAGGAGCTGATCCATGAACGGGGGAGGGAGGGACGGGAAGGCAAAGGGCCGGGGAAGCAGCGGCTCCACTGGCAGAGCCAGTTTGGGGGATCTGGGGAGGATTTGGGGAGGATCTGAGAAAGGATTTGGGGAGGATCTGGGGTGGATTTGGGGAGGATTTGGGAAGGATTTCGGAAGAATGTGGGGAGGATTTGGGGAGGATCTGAGAAAGGATTTGGGGAGGATCTGGGGAGGATCTG